CAGCCCAGACTGACCAACTCAACTACCACCCAGACACACATCCAGAGCTTTGAGTTGGCACTCCCCAATATCTACCCTATCTATGACCTCCTAGAGATCCTGAAGGGACTGGCCCAACAGAACCACAGCCACGGGATCTCCACGACTTGGGACAACAAAAGTTTTGGTGAGAGTCCAGCATTAGTGGTGTACCAGAACCCAGAGGCCTTGAACCTGACCAACAGCACACTACACGATGAACATCTGAAAGTAAAACTGTCTGGACAAAAGAGTATACTGCAGGACACGCCACAGCTTCTAATGTCGTTAAAAGGAATGATGAGGTAATCGATATGGGGGCAAAGATGGAGGACTAAAATGGTTTGTTTGTTTGCTTGCTTGCTTGTTCGCTTTTTTGTTTGTTTGTTTGTTTGGTTTTTTAATTAGTATTCTTATTTGTATTTTGTGTTTTTATTTTATTTTTGTTACTTCCTTTTAAGTTTTCCCTGGGAAGATGCTACAAGAGTGAAGTGCAGGAATAGAGGGGCTGCGAAATAAGCAGGACTGGGGAGCACGCGGTGAAATTCCCCAAGAATCAATTTTTAAAAAATCATGTTTATAAAATAACAATGACATCCCACACAAGAGCAAGTGAAGGGACTGGGAAAGAAGCGGGGATGGATGGCACTTTTAGCATTTTTCCTCATCGTGCAAGTCTGAGCCACACCCCCAACCTGCATAGTTTAGGTTTAAGGTCAAAAGTTACCACTATTTTAAGGATGTTTGTGGGGCGATGTGCATGTGGTAGATGTGTGTGTGTGTGTGCTGTATGTACACATGTGTGAATAGGTGTGCACACGTGTGCATGGCCATACACATGGGCACACTTCAGGACATCAGAAGACGATGCCAGGTGTCCTTCACTCTCACTCTTCCTTACTCCCCTGAGACAGTCTCTCCCTGAACTAGGAACTAAGCTAGCAGCCAGCAAGCCTCCAGCGACCCTCCTCTCCGACTCCTACAGTACTAGAGTTACAGGTATAGGAGGCCATGTGCAGCTTGTTACCCGCTGCTGGGTTATACTCGAGTCCTTAGGCTTGTGTAGAAAGCACTTGTCCCCTCCGAGGCCTCTCCCCAGCCCTGTGAAAGGTGTGATGGTCCACTGACATACAGATCCATGAGGTAATAAAGCTGTGTTACCTAAGCTACTAATTTGTGGTTATGTCTGTGGCAGAAATGAATGACAAATACGGACTTAGAAGATAATGTGGGTGTGTATGTGAGGCCATTCTGTCCCTCCATCAGAACGCTTAGGTTGTTCTCAACAGTGAGTCACTTCTTTTGTGAAATGTAAATCTTAAAAGGGTGTGTTTTTATATGACTTGGGTTGTAAACCTAATTTGTTAAGGAAATAAGATGCTTAATAACACAAACTCAGAAAGTATCTTCCCTAAAAGAAGTGGAATTGTGAAATTATAAAAGTGCCCTTTACAAGAGAACAAAATTAAAAGCAAGCATGTGGGTTAATAATGATGGTGGCTCAGTGTGTTAAATACTAAGGAAAGAAGATCAGTATGGACTCGGAGTGGGGTGGGTAAGGCAGCAATTGAATACCATATTTTGCTCAATATAAGAAACAATTGTCTGAAAATTGAGTTGTGTTTCTAGGAAACAAAGGAGAGGTAGCCACTGAACAAGCAAGGTTAGCATAAATGTTTGTATGTTGTCAAGGAAAATCAAGCCTCTGGTCAAGTATCTTTCTTTTCCTTCAGCATCTACATTCCTTTAAATTATCCTAGGAACTGATTGTGTTGACTTTATTATATTAACAGCACCTAAAAGGGGAACTACAAGCAGAACCAAGGTGCCAGGAATATATTTACAGACCAATGCAAAAGAGAAAAAAAAAAATCAAGACAGGACGGGGGAAGAAAAGTGTAACATGAAATGCCTCCTGAGGTAACATTGCTAAAATATATATATATATATATATATATATATATATATATATATATATATATATATAAAGTTTGATTTGATTCATGTGCAGAAAACAAGAATGTATCATAGCCCTAGTATTACAGGGATAAGGTTAAAATAGGAACTTGCCCCAGAGAGGATTGAAGGTCTTGGGGAGCTGTATGTATGTAAGAGAGAAACCAGTGTGACAAAGGGGAGGGGTGATATTCATGCTGATGGGTGACATAGTACTTCATAAGAAAATGATGCTATTAAGAGCTCCCACTAATGACAGAAAATAGATTTGGGAAATTTTAAATACAGACAAAAATAATAGGAGGATATTACTTACACACAATTGCATGGTGAGATGTGCACATTTGGATTATCTTCCAACACTGGGGAACCAAGGGATGGCAAGACCATTGATCCACGAAGGATTCTAAATGAGCAGAAACTGTTTAGAGACTGTGCAATAGAGAGAAAAAAAATCAAGGAAAATTTGCTTCCTAAATGTGCTGAAATGTGTTTATCGCCATCCATAAATTATTGAAGTCAACATCCTAGAAGCACATTTACACTTTCGTCCTTGGAAATGAATCAAATGTGTAATGAGGAAGCCCAGAGCAGGGACGCTGTAAAATGATTCCGGGCTGCCTGCACTTACAGTCTAATGGGCTTGGTAGGATGAAGAGACGCTGAAAGGTCGGCGTCACTAACCTTTTTATGTCTCATCTTTCCCTTTGTGCCATAGAGGGTCTGACTAAGTGGGCTCTCTGTTTCTTACAGTTCCAGAGCTGAATATGATGCTTGTCAGTAATGACTATGTAATATTCTGTTGATCCCAATCCAGTTTTTTTAACCCAGGCCTCAGCATGATTACTCACCATGCTGATGTCTTGAAGCCTTCATTTATGACTTGAAACTCTCTTATTTTCCAAAGGCTTTTCCTCTTTTTGGCAACTCAAATTTATGTACTCCCCAGTCTGTGTCTATACAACTCATATTTCACAGGTTGTTTGTAGAATCCTTACTTAGGACCCACACTTAAACTAACCCATGGTATTTCCACCTGAGTTATCTGTTCTATTATTCAAAGCTCTTCCCACCGGCTTCTTGACCACACATAAGCTTTTGAATGTGTGCAAGTTCTCTGTTGCTGCAAAATAAGAGATGGACTTCCAATGGGCTAGGCATGAGTCCAGTGAAAATCAGCATAGAAACTCCACCAACTCAAGTTTTCCCAGCCCAGTCTGCATACTCTGCCCCTGGGCATCACGGATACTAGCAACAACAGCGTGGAGGCATTGTATCCCTAGACAAAACAAGAGGCTGCTTTGCAACAAATTTCAGTGGACATCTGGGAAAGCTTAATGTTTCATTTGACGATATCTAGTCTTCAAAGAGAAGCCATCCTTCCTGGCATTTGGACAACCTCATGCTTCCTCCTAATTAAAGCTTGTGAGCAGGCACCCCCTATTCACCTCATCATTGATGGGGATACATTGTACCCAGATCAATGTCCTGCCAAGGAAAACTCAGCTGCTGTGTCACATAGGTAATGAGGGCTCACCTGGAGTCAACATTCAAAAGGGAAAAACCAAGGTAAATGATCATTAAAAACTGGCTCATGAGGAAATGGCACCAGGGAGACAGAAGAGCATCTAAAACGTCCAAGTGCCCAACACTGGGATGAGGCATTCGGAGACAGAAGAGAATATAGAGAAAGTAAAGCCCCATCTTTATAAGGGGACATAGTAAGTGTGCTTGAAAGCCAAACAAGAAAAATGGCAGGACCGAACAGGTGCTTCAGTGGTTGAGTATTCATTGATCTTGCAGGAGACTTGACTTTAGATCCAAGCATGCAAGTCAGGCAGGTAGACTGCCCATAACTCCAGCTCCAGAGGAGCCAATGCCCTCTTCTAGCCTGAGCAGGTAATTGGATTCACCTACACATACTCTGCTCTCAGACACAAATGCAAATGCACAATTCAAATTTTCAAATTATTTTTTTTTATGAAAAGAAGGGACTAGAGAGGTGGCTCACTAGTTAAGAGTACTTGCTATGCTAGCAGAGGACCCAGCTTCTCAGCACTTACATCAGGCAGTTTACATCACCTGTAACTCCAGTTCCAGGGGTTCTGACACCCTCATCTGGCCTTGGAGGGCACCTAAACATACATGGTGCTCATACAGAAACATGGGCACACTAGTACATATAAATAAAAATTAATAAGTTTTTAAGAAAAAAAAAGGACAAGGAAAACAGTTTACTACCCACTGTAGGGACGACTACAGAATGAGAAGGAGAGCAGACTGGGAAATCTGTGGCTCCACTGATTGCCAGAGTTCACTAGGCTAAGCAAGTGTCTCCTTCCTACGTGTACCACTCTGGAAGCTGTGTCCTCAGTAAAAGAGGACCAAATTGTACCACAGAGAACTATTCTTCAGTCAATAGTACATAACTAAATGTATTCCTGCTAGAACCTCCAAAGAGGCCCCCAAAGAATAAGTACAGATGTCTAAACCAAGAAGAGTCCAAAGCAGGCTCACCTCTATAGGATGGGATTAGAAGTAGCCAGGGTGGGACAAGACACTCCTTTTCTTCCCAATATGTGCTGTATTACTACTCTCTCTGTCTTTTCCATTTAAAAAGTACTCTATATAAAGTTTCCTGAGGCAAACACAAAAGGTCAGCATAGTACAGAAAATGGGGCTAGAGAAATGGCCCAGCAGTTTTGAGCACTTGTGCCCTTGTGGAGGACGCAGACTTTGTTCTCAGCACCCACATCCATTGGATAGCTACAACTGATTGACTCAGATTCCAGGGGAACCTGATGCCTCTAGCATCCATGGACTCATGCCCTCATGTGCCCATACCCACAACATGCACATAATTAAAAACAATAAAAATAGCTATCTTTTAAGGGGAAAATTTGAGGATCCCCTCCTGTGTATGAGTTAGATGTGAGCCATAAGCTTTGTCTGATAGACAGAGCCCTCCAGGAGCTAACAACATCACCTTGAGAACTTTCAACCAAAGGACACTATTTTCTCCAAACATCTTTAAGTTGGCAACCAAAATGTTTCAGAAGTAAGCTGAGAAGACCTCCTCTTGAGCCGTACTTAGGGGACAGATGGCTGAATGTTGTTTCAGAAGGCTGCTGAGTCTGAAGTCCTTGGCAAATAATATTTATCAAGGATCTCTAATGGACCAGGAATGATGCTAGTACACCACAACTCAAGGGGGAGTCCAAAGCAATCTCCTCTTCATTGAAGTAACCACTGGAAGTATGCTGTGGGATATCTTTCTGTATGCTGTGAATATGCGTTACTCCTATTGGCTAATAAATAAAGCCACATTGGTCTATGGCAGGGCAGGAAGGAACCAGGTGGGAAAATCCAAGAGAGATAGGGAAAAGAGAAAGAAGAGGAAAAGGAGGCACCAGCCAGCTGCCCAAGGACAACAAGACCATAGACCAGTAACATCACAGCCATGTGGCAACATAGAGATTAATAGAGATGGGTTGAGTTAAGTTATAAGAGCTAGCTAGTAAGAAGCCTGACCCATAGGCCATACAGTTTGTAAGTAATATAAGCCTCTGTGTGTTTACTTGGGACCAAGCAGCTATAGGATGGAGAAACTTCTGGCTACAACAGTGTCCCAAGCTTTTTGTGCATAGTACCCTAAGAGACAAGGACCACTGCTTTCCCATATTACAGATGAGGAGGCAAAGCGGAGTGTGTATGGTTCATGATCTATTGAGGGACAGCATCAGGACTGGAACTTGGGCAGCAAAGGCCGAGCTTTAAAGGTGAGTGTGTGGTCAATGCAATGAAGGAACACAGGTGATATGGGCTCCACTGCCATGAGGAGCGGATCCAGGCTAAAGAGGCAAAAAGTCATTGAGTTTCCATTTTCAATTGTTCCTTCTTTTCTGCCTCCCCAAGAGCACTCTACCTGTACTACGACCCACTCATCCGTTGGAACAGAAGGTCCTGTGGGGTCCAGGGAAGTTCTTCATTAAAATCTCATTAGTGTATCTCCATTAATTCTGCTTTAGAGCACAGATTTATTTTTTCCTCCTTGGTTAACACTGGACAGGTTTCCTCTTTTGTCAATCCACCGACTTTACTTTTGCTTGCTTTCAACTATTTATTAGATATTCATTGAACTTATCTGTACAAAACTAGTGGAGCTTTTAATGCTACTTCTTCATATTAAAATTAACTACCAGTTGTCAGACGGATGTGACGTCCCTAGAAGTTGCTGAGCACAGGAAGCTGGGGTGAAATACACAAGAAGGACAGGTGGGAGAGAGCTACCATAGATCAGAATATGGGTTCCTTTTCCTTGCCAGCTTCCTTTGTTACCCCAACCCAACCCTCCGTGTTCAGAGGTAATGGCTGGGAGCATTTATAGCTTGAACTGCCAGTGCTCTGTTCAGTGGGTTTTATGGCAGATGCAACTTATTTTTTCTCCTCTTGATACTCAGGAGATGCCTCATGAAATAAGCACCGTGACACTTCACATGCATGCAAATGAATAATTTAATTGCTAGGAGAAGGCCCCGCTGTTGTTTGTAATGGGTTTTGAAGAAAAAAGAAAGAGCGTCATCCTACAAAAATATGCTTGCAAAGAAAACTTATGAGTTGAAAATTTTAAAAAAAATGCTTTATTTAAAGATACTGATTTTAAATCTAGGTCATTAAAATTATCAAATGTCATTGGTATGAGAAAGATCATTTTCTAGAAAGCCTTGAAAAGGGATCTGTTCTCTTTCTCCATGCTGTGCAGGTAGAGGAAACCGTATCCTAAGGGTAGCAGATGGCCTGGCACCTTGGGCCTTTGCTCTACCAACTGTGATCCATAAAGCACTGGGTCAGAGTGAGAAATGAGGGGGTTCTAGTTCTGTCTCCACTGGGAGACACTGAGCACCCCTAAATAAATCAGTTACCATTTATGGGCCACTTCATCTACAAAATGAGACCATTTAATT